ACCCTTAGCAGAACCCTTGGCCGCCAGTGTTCTCATAGCCTTCGAGGCTTCTTGCTGATTTTCTTTGTCTTCGTCTACCATCTGAGCATCGTCTCTCAGTCTTTTCTGCTTGTCGATATCTAAAGACAAGAGCTTTTGCATGGTTTCTCCAATCTGCAAAGTCGGCATTGCCGAAAGTGTAAGAACGAGCCAATTGCCCAAAATTTTTGAGATGAAAATGAAGCGCCGAATTGACAAAACCCAACAAATTCGCGAATTCGCCAAATTGAGTCGATATCCCACCAATGAAAATGAAATCTCACTGATAAATCCCACTGATTAGACCCAAATTGAACCAATCTCGCTGAACCCGAAGACGAAGGCAGCGATGGCTGCCGCGCCGCCCGCGCCGCCCCCCCGCGGCCCCCTTGAGCCCGGAGGCAGCCCTTGAGCCAAAACGGGAAGCGCCGTTGGCTGGGAGGTTTAAGACGGGAGCGGCAGAAGCACGGTGGGCCGCGCGGAGGACGCCGACCAGGTCGGGCGCGGGATGGTTCGCAGGGTCGTGGGACTTGGAGCCCGAAGCGAACACGCACCGCGCCTGCTGCTCAGACTGGGCGCACCCGAGCTGCTGGCGCATACGCGCAGCAGACCACGGCGAGAGCGCCGAGGGCCGCCAGAATTTGGCGAGGGCCGCCAGGCGGCGCGGCCCCCTGGCCCCGCCGGGCCCAGGCGCAAAATCGCAGGAGGCCGGCAGAGGCACGACGACGGCGGCCGCCGCGGCAGGGAGGCGCGAAGTCAGGGATGGCGCATGGTGGCGCTGCGGAAAAAGGGGGAAACACTGGTTGCGTCGCCGCCAGAGTCGGAGTCACGGTCGGCAGCGCGGCAAGCGCCAAGTCGGGCGCGTCCCCCACGCAGGGGAATGTTGGGTGAAGAATTAAAAATACCCAAAAGATACCCCAAAAATTGGCAAACACATCACAAAATCGCCCCCAGACAATGCTTCTACTATTTTTGAATATTCCCCCTGAAGAGGGACAGGCCCGACTTAAGGCAAGCGCCAGGCCTAAGGGCCCACGCAATGCCTGGAGCGGCAGGGCGGCCATCAGGTCCAAGACGCGCAACAAGCCCGCCCTCGCAGCAGGCCTTAAAGAGCCAAGCGACGAGGTCGATGGGGCTGCGCCAGTTCACGGGTGGGAACGTGGCGACGCCCCTGCGTCGCTGGAAATTGCCCATGAACTTGGCCGCGAGCGACACCCGGCATCCGCGCATGAGAACGCGCCGCGAGCGGCGGCAATTGGGAGCGAGTTGCGGGGGGTCGCCCATCACATCGAGCTGCACGGCCGGCGAGCTGCCGCTGGGCACGAGCGCGAGAGCTCCCGGCTGAGGCGCGGCCTCGTCGAGCAAGACGGCATCGGAGCGGGGGCGGTCCGCCCCGTCGGGGCCGCGACGAAAACTGCCGACGCGCTCCAGGATCGAGGGGGTGAAGCGGCGGGAGGGCAATGCTGACCTGGCCAAGGTCTTGAATCTCCTAGTCGGGCGGGAGCGCCCGCGGTTCTGATTGCGCCGACGAGCGGCTGGGTCTGGCGGCCGGCGGCGGCGCCCGAGAGCAAGGTGGCGGAGGTGCTCGGGCAGGGCCTCGAGCCGGGCGCGTCGGACGCCTCGCGCTGGATCTCACCGGCGCTTCCCGCGGGGCAGCTTGGATGCAGCGAGGAGTGGCGCCGAGCGCGGCGCGCGGCAGGATTGGCGCCGCAGGCAACCCAGGATTGCCCAAACGGGTGGGAGGGCGCTCGCACGCAGGATGGCGAGGGCCGCGTCTGCCCCGACCCTGGCGGCCTGACGGCCCCTGCACAGCGGTCCACACGTGGGCGGCGGGGCGGGGGAGACTTGCCCGCTGGTCGGGGTCGAGCGAAAACATCTCGGCAACCTCGTCAACGCGCTCGCGCGCAGGTAGGGAGGCCAGCGGCCGGAGGAGCACGGAACCTGGCGCGCGCCTCCGGTCGCCGTCGCGGTTCGCCAACGAGGCCCGAGGCTGGCGCCCGTTTAAAACGATCAGAGGCGACAGCCGCGACGCGCCAGCTATTGGCGCCCCAGACGTCCCAGATGACTTGGTGGCAGGCGATCGCACTGGCGTGGAGGCGGACATCCAGCGGGAGCACTAGCACGGCGATCAGGACCAGGATGGGAGGGACAACGGCGCCCCGCAAGCGGCGGTGGTCGCAGCGGGCGTAGGACAGCGAGTGGACGCTGGTGACACCCGTCGACGTGGAATGCGAACGGGCGGGAGGTGGATCCACGACGCTATCTCAGAGGCGACGGGCCCGTTCAAATGATTCTCGTCGATGAGCGGCCCATCGCTATCAGGCTCCTAGGAAAAAAGCGTGTCCGCATGGCGAAGATGGAGATTGTCGTGGCGGCGCTACTTCACATTGATCTGGTCGGCGCAGTCATCGACAGGCGAGGTGACGCAGATGGTGACATGCACGCAGCCGCCCGCATGCGCGTTGAGGAAGGGCTTGGACGA